CCCCCCTTCGCAGATGTGCCACCATAAGCGAGGCCAGCGTCGTGGCTTGCTGCTTCTCTCCATGTGCCCAGATGTTTGTGACTGGCTGCACCCGTGGAGACCTCAAACTCTGGGATGCTTACACCAGCCTTCTGCACGCTGAGAAGGACGCTCACGACCTGGGAGTCACCTGTTGCTGCTTTGCACCCCAGTTCATCGTTAGTAAGTTCTCTTCATTTGCTACTACTGCTGTAGAAATTCATCTGAAAATAAAATATGAGACATCAGCTGCGTTTATTGGTTTTACGTCAGGGTAAATGGGATTTCTATCGATCTTCTCACATTTTTCATCTAAATGGTGCTGGTAAATTGAGTCAAATCTTTAGAACTACAGATTCCTATTCAAATTAAAAGTTGACCATCTCAGTTACTCACCTCATTTTCTGTGGGGCTTTTTCCCTCATCAAAACTCTTTTGCAATTTCATTGCTTTTGCTCTCCTTCCTTAGTTCCTTTTGCAATAGGTTCATCTTGCACAATTTTCAGTTTAAAAGCAACTTGCATGTAATCCTAGAAGCAAAGTAGCTGGCTCCAATAAAGACACTTGTTATGTTAGTGTTACTGCTGTATGTGCTGTAATGAATGGGTTGCAGCTAAAAAGCAGGCCGTCAGATGATATTTGCCGCCCTCTGCTTTCAGATGCATTCAAGCATGAATCTTAACAAAAAGGGGATGTGGCTTCTTTGGCTCTGCAGATGGCTGCTGTGTGGAGTTTCGACTGGCCTCCTGCGGACAGGACAGCCAGCTGAAAATATGGATTGTTTCCCAGCGTGAAGGAGCAGGTAGGCCGACCCCTCTGCCCCAGCTTCCCCACCTGAGTGCTCCCTCACTCGACTGCCGAGCGGGAGAGACAGGGAGGGAGAGAGGGAGGGAGAGTGTGCTGACTGCTTCAACCTTGAAACCTCTCTGCAGAATAGAAGAATTTTATTAGTGTGTGGAGTAAATCAGCTGCAGACTGACTCATTAATAATGGATCACTTTAAGACATTCTGCTGAAATACAGCAGCAGAGGTGTGTGTGTGTGTGTGAGAAAGAGTTGGAAGGAAATCAGTTGCATGTATCCATGATGACATTTACATCTTGTACAAGCAGCAGCAGAGGAGGAACATTTGTGTATGTTCACACGTACGTACCCCGGCTACAGACTGTATTTTTCGTTATGTATGTGAACACACCATGTTGTTAGGTTCCAATATGTGTTGCTATGGTAACAGCCATTTCTTGGGAGGATTTGATGTGTCCCACGTGGTGACCCAAGTCCGTGGAGATTTTTTTTTTTTCCTTTATCTCCGAGGGACACCAGACAATGTCTGTCCTCATTTCATTATGCTTTAGATTTTTTAATTTTTTTTGTCCTCAGATGTGAAGGAGGTTGAGCTCGGCCTTTTTTGAAATGTGCACTTATCTTGTCTTGGCATGAGGACTGTGCGCTCGAACCTCTCTTCCACTATTTTATGAAAAAGAGACTCAAGTGTACGTGATTTAGGGAAGCAAGGGGCGCATTTCAAAGCTGAGATTGCTGTCGAAATGGAATATTTTTTCTAGTCCCCGCTTTTGTTTTTGTGTGAGTGTGTACAAGCCCCATATGTTCACGGAAAAATCTCTAATTCCAGCTTTGCATATTAGCTCCATGGGTCGAGCCTTTAATGCTGTCAGATCTGAAGCATTCCCTTCAAGTCACCTATCAACACTTGCTGACATCTCCAATCAACACGTCACATTTGTTTAGTTTATTTTGGTCTCACTTGTATAGTTAATTTGTCGGGTTTAATCAGGCGTTACGGTTTTCTACTCCACTGTGGTGTTTCACATCAATCAGGAATATGCCTGGAAATAACACATTAACCTCCCAGAGAAAATGGTGTGTTTATGTTTTATTGCTGAGGAGAAAAAGGGGGAAGGTTTGACTTAATGCATGTGTATTCGCAGGATGATTATATAAATGCTGCTGCAGATCAGTTGGTTTTAGCATGAAGAATTAATGCACAGTCGATGTGAGTTTATTGGCAAAAATAAAAATCATTTGTTTCCAAGTAGTTGTCAGCAGGGGGCACAGCTACAAGGGGGAAAAAAGTCATCTACCTCTACTTCTTTTTCTGGACTTCAGTCAACTGCTGAGATCGAATACAGACACAATTTAACTTTGGTCTCATCTTGCTTGTGTGTGTTGAACCCCAGCCTGTACCATGAAGCTGCTTCAGACTCTCACCAGCCAGACGGCCCCAGTTCTGTCTTGTGCCTTCTCCTCTGATGGAGAATGGGTTGTCTCGGGGTAAGACGCTAATCACGCTCTCTGTCACAAACATACACACACATGAAAATCACTTCCTCCAGTGTTTTCATCCCATAATTCCCCCTGCTTCAGCAACTAATTATTGATATTTGTACCTTTCAGGTCACGTTTAATATTCTATTTGTGTTATTAGTTCCTATCATAATTTGATACAATTCATATTCAAATTCATTTTTTTCTGTCTGCATTTTTTTTTTCTGCGCTTTAAACGGCCGTGCCATGGTGAGCACTGATCGTGCTGTTCTCTCAGTCGACCACAGGAGGAGTGCATTTTGTTATCATATAGCTTCTGCTCGGTCCTTCTGTTGT